CTCACGATGAAGATCGAAGTGCACAACTGGAATACTCCCTTGTTGAGATTCCAGGGATCAGTGGCTCCGAATCCGTCGGCACACTTTTCGAGGTTGAAAAAAGTGGACGTGTGGTATTAAGACGATCTCTCGACTTTGAAACCTGGAAATCCTACACTTTGCCCATCAGTGTTACCGACGGGGATTTCACCACTGAGACTACCCTTCATGTTGCCGTTGCCGATGTCAATGATGAGGCCCCGCGTTTTGAAATCAATCCAATTCATTTGAGCGCTGAGGAGAAAACGGCAGCTAAACGATTAATTGGTCAGGTAATTGCCTTTAAAAGATCAAACTCTAGCCTACAGGGTAGGATTAAAGGGAAACAAGCCAATGATGTTTTGAGTCAATGACAGCTAGTGTCACATAAAGAAGTCATTTCGCCGTTGTCGTAATTTTTTTCCTATATGTCAAAGGCTATTTCTCTAAGGTGAGAGTTTTGTAGAAAAATACGTTTAAGGCGTTTCCTTGACAATTCTTTGTGCTGAAATGCACAAAGGAATAGATGAAATAATCGCGTTTTAAGTTAAATTAACGTCACTTCCGAAATAAATCCCAAATGCTAGAAAAATATTCATGTATAAAACAAAGAGATATTAGGAAGTCAAATTCTAAATTGTCATTATTCTTGCTTTCGAATATCATCTAATGCAAATTCGCCTGAATCATTGCTAAGTAGGCCAAGAGGCATTATAACCTAAATGGCAAAACAGTTTCAAAAAACATCCACTTATCAAATAAAATAGATTACTAATTTAGTGAATTTTTCGTGTTTATTCAGACTTTTATTTTGAATAAGCTTGAAGGTTGACATTTGAAAGTTGAATTGTGATTCGATTATCCAAATGACGTTTAGCATTTAGGCATTTTACAAGCTCTTTCTAGTCCATTTTATCAGATTTAGGCATTAGGAAAGTAATATTCATCTTATTGTCTTTGATGATTAATAAAAACATAAAGCATTTCGTACAGTGAGTCACCCTCTTTTTATCAAGGCATAAGAAGTGTAGTGTGTGAGTTTTTAAGGGCTCCAGAAAATGTTCTCTACACAAGGCCAATCCTATCTGCCTATAGTGAGGCGTATTGTGTCGCTGACAAAGTGACCGCCCCTATTCTAAAATGAGAGCTCAAGTTGAGAACGTAATATGTGGTGAATTGTCGAATTTCACTTGATGTTACTCACTGTTTAATTGTCGAACGAATACCTAGCTTTAGTTCCTTGTAATCACACATTACGTTCCATAATTATGCTCAGGAGATATTGGCATATCTAATTCATTTTTTAGACTTTTAAAAGCCTTAATGACTAAATAACAAGGGGGTAGGGTATGGAATCTTCCACAACCTTTCATTAATTTTACCCTTCAAAATTCTGATCATAGGTAAGAATTTACGATCCAGATAGCGTGGAGGTGAACGGTGTGGTTCGGTGCAGTGAGCCAGCCGAACTGGCTCACCGTCAAGTCCTTCTCTTCTCCCCAGACCCCCAGGCACATCCCTCTGCAGGCCGATATGACCTTCAGACTAGAATAGAATTGGATCGTGAGGGTCCAGACATCCTGCCAGGTGGTCTGGCACTTATTCGGCTCATTTGCTGGGATGGGAACGAGATGATTCATCCATCAAACAAACCGAAAAGGAAACTCACTTCAACATTGACTGCGACGTTAACAATCAGGGATATTAATGATAATCCACCAATGTTTCAACAACCGATTTATCACGTCACTTTGGCTGAGAACAACCCTATCGGTGCCAAAATCATTCAGGTACTGCAGTGGGATATGTGCAATTTTAAATCAGCCTTTTGGTGATGTCTTCTTTCATCAAGAACATAAACAGATCTGACTAGATTATCATTAATATGTGGGGAATTTACTTCAACTTACTCATTAACATTTCTGTATGCACACAAGTATTAGTATGGTACAAAATGAATATAACTAAGAAGATTTAAATTCAATTCAGTCCAGTATTTCTTGAAACTATTAGTTTTGTCATTATTTATGTTTCGTATAATAAAATTCAAACACCCCTAGAGAAATGAGCTTTCCCCTATTTCATAACTGTTGTATATGCTATTCTGAGCAGTTCAGAAAATTGAAACCGCATTATTGATGATTTAAAGGTTCAGTTCGTATTTGATAATTTCGTTATAGGTTCAAGCTCAAGACCTAGATGATGGTGAAAATGCAGAGATAACGTACTCTCTGCTCGATCGAGCTAATTTTCACGTGAACCCGGTGTCTGGTTGGGTTACAGCCACAGTGGAGTTTGATAGGGAGAAGCGGGACTCCTATCAAGTGTCCATAATTGCCACTGACAATGGATCCCAAAGATTAACAGGCTCAGCACTCCTCAATGTGACGATCCTGGACCAAAACGACAATCCACCTCAACTGATTGCCTGCAACAAAATGTCAGACCCCTTAGTGGTTTTGGAAAACTCTGCACCTGGAACATTTATCGGTAATCTGATCGCAACTGATGCTGATACAGGACGAAATGGGGAAATCCTCTTCCGACTGCCAAAAAAGACAGCATCATCTGCTTCACATTTTGAGTTGCGTCCAAATGGAACACTTTATACATCTTTGCCTCTTGATAGGGAACAAAAGGTGAGTCCGATTTCTGTAATTAATAATATTCAATTATAAAAGCAGTTAATTGTTGGACTACTTTGAAAATTTATGGAATTTTGGTTTTTATTAATAGTGACTTAAGAACCTTTGAAAAATTATAGAAAAGAAATATATTGTAAAGGTAAGGTTAATTGATGCCTTCATTACGTTACCTTCTATTGTCTTAAAGATCTTCTGAATTTCAATCGAATGGTAATCGTGGATTATGTTTTTACCGAACAATGGCGCATAAAGTGTTCGTTTAGTGGACCCATCAGAAAAATCGTGCTCCCCTAGTACGACAGCTCAAATTAATTTAACTACTTTCGAATCAGCAGGTACCTATATAGCATGAATAAGAGCATACACACAGTTACGGCTAAAGTAAAGTATTCAAGACTCAAGAATTTATTTATGCAAACAGTTCATCATAAGTGAGGCATCGAAAATGGTTCTTTTCCATCTTCAAACTATGGAACTTCATTTCAGGTGCAAACAATAAAAGTTACCGTTTACAGATGTATGCGACTTTTTATTGAGATAAAAATCACTCTCTTGGCCTACGCGATTTTGAAATTTTAATACAGCTTGGTGCCCCCTTGCTGGTGATAGTAAGCCTTCATAAAGCTACAGATAGATAAGCCATCCCTTTGCAGAGTTTCATCCCCAACTTCAATATGAGTCAGTGCCTAAGAGAATTTAAAAATGGCAGACAGTTTAATGTAATAAATAACGGAAATATACGGAAATATGGTGGGAAAAAATATGCATAGGCGCGGTAAGTGGGGAAGGGGATGAATTGAATTTCTAAGTTCAAGCTCCTCCAGTATCACTTCAAAGTGAAGCCTCAAAAGTAGTTCACTTACTGTACAAATAAATGGAAATTACCATGTGTTATTATTAATCAAGTAAATCATTTTTATTTAATGACTGCTAATATTCACGTAGCATGACTCTACTCGCAAACTTGGGTTAAAGTGAAATTTCACCTTCTATTTGAAACGAATTTCTGCGTACCCTCCCTGTCTGATTCCGTGCGCTTCTAATTTGCTTGCAGGTATGGGAAGGACATTTTAGCCAGGATTGATTGCATCGCTAATAGTATCGCAGTAGCCACTACTCTAGTAAACACCCTGCAGTAACTTGCGGCGAAATCTTTATGACACATCTTGAGTTGCTCGCATTATCCAATGTCCATAAACTACGACTACTACTGTAAGCAACCGTTTATGTCTCACAGGAGGAAGTGGTGCCGCGTTTACCTGCGAGAAGACAAGTAGGGCGCATGGATTACAATGATGAAAGTATAATCAATGACATATTTGATCATTTTAGGCCACATATGAACTACTGGTGGAAGTAAGAGATCGTGGAACACCAAATGTTTTGTCCTCTACGGAGACAGTTTGCATTACAGTACTGGACGGAAACGACAATGCCCCTCATTTTGTATTGCCTGACAAGCTTTACTCCCCAGGTAATTTTCAAAATATCAATTTTCTTATACCTTAAAAAATAATAACTCTAAGTTAATTCACCTAAAATGAAGAATTCCTATTTATTAACATATTTTTATCAATGGTGTAAATGCTCGAAGTGGGATTATGAGAAAATTAATATATGGCAGTAGAAGTAACATGCTCGATTGGATGGTCAATCTTTGCTTATACTACTTAAATCGCATTAAGAATTATCAGAAAATTGACGAAATTGGCCTGGAAGTGGTTTTCAACGGCCAATGCACAATCTTTCTTCGTCATTATTCCTCCCTTATTAGTTGGGCAATCCACATTTTTGGATTGAGAATAATAGGGTCCTATTAATTAATTACCCAAATCAACAAATAACTAAAAATCGATGAACAATAAAATATTTTTGACTCTAACATAAATTATTTAATTTTAATCAGTTGAGACTTAAAGACATTATATATATATATATATATATATATATATATATAATTTTAAAATCTTGTCAACTAAGACCACCAATTTTGACTTACGTTAAGCATTTAAAAACAGACACCACATGCAGCAAATAGCCTACTATGTATAAATTTCCTTTTTTATTGCAGACGATCGGGTTTTAGATAATCCCATAAGAAAAAGGGAATATAATGAGAAGGTTTCTGACGCTGGGACCACAAAATTTCCTCCGGATAATGGACGAGGGGATTTAAGTGTGGACCCTTCACTGAGGGTATCACTTCACGAGATCCAAGGTCAGTTTGTGACTCGTCTTCAGGCTACAGATCCGGATGAGGGTGCTAATGGAAGGGTTACCTACGGACTCAAGCGACATGCTCAATCAAGAACTCGTGTTAATCGGGTAGTAGGTGATTTTCTCGGTGTGGATGGGAATACCGGTGAAGTTTGGCTAAAAAGAGCCCTTCAAGAAGACGATCTCGGACCTCATCTTTTTATTGTCTCAGCAAGCGACCAGGGTTCTCCAGAATCTCTATCGGAAAGCAAAGTAAAACCATCATCGCATTTACAATATAATTCAGGAAAAAGAGAAAATTGTTCTGAAATATGGTTCCGAAACGGTTCTAGCATTGGGTTCCTTTAAAATGTTAGGATTTTTATATTCTTCTAGTTCAAGAAGGTTGAGCTCCTGCAGATATGGTTTAGGTGTTCCCTAACATAGGTCGGATACAAGTTGGCCAGACCCGAAGAGAGAGGGAAATAAAACATCAGTCAAGTTATTCCATAACACTGTATCAACGCGGTAAAGTCTGTATATGTTTCGCACAGGTGTTTGAAAAGCTAAATACAGCTACACTGATAATAGTTTTTGTCTCGATTACCTATCAATCTGTTAGATAAGCAAAGCGTGTAGCGAATTGTGACCACATTTGAGAAATGTTTGCGTGTTGATATCCAGTCAAGTTCCCTGAAGAAAGATTTTGTTCCTATTCTCAACTTATATTCTTGTGTCCACTTTAGTAATAGCACATCTAAATTATATCGTTACGTCTTAGTGGATTGAGGAGTAAATAGGCAGAAAGTCTGCCAATAAAAAATCAATAGATTGGCTCAAGTTATAGCAGAAATGGGATTAAATTTTCAAACATGAGCGTAAAATTAAAAAAATGCATTGATGTCTACTGATTTTATTTTTTACACTTTTATCTAACAAAGAGCTAGGAAATTTAATTTATTTGGATGAAAAGTTTTATTATTTTAGGTGATGCTTGTGTCGGTTGAAAACATTCCACCAAGGTCATTGGATGGTGGAGGAGCAAGCTCAAGCTTTGTTGCCTCTGCAAACGGGAGTGGAGAGAGCGGTATTTTTGCTAATCTCTTTCCAATGAAACTCGGTGAACGCAAAAATGCTCTTATTCTAGTTGGTCTCATCTCCGTTTCGGTAATTCTTGCCATTGCGCTTGTTGCTGCGATGATATGTATGCTTAAACCCTGCAGGTTAATGCTAGTTCTTTACTGTATCATCTCATTATCCATTAATATTAATTCACTGAATTGCTTTATTCTCATAGGCCTTTTTCACGTCAATCGCAGCGGTTTTTCAATCAAAATCAAATAAGTTCATCAAACGGCTATAATAGTGCCGCTCTACAAGCCCATACTAATGTAAATGGAGGGATTATATCCTTACAGGAAGCGCGATTGATTGATAATTCTTCAGTTGACAATTTTGGAAGTGTTGCCCAAGATTATGGATACGGTACAACGCTTACTCCAGTTGATATGCCGGAAGGCGAGTGCTGGTTAGGGACCAATGGCAAGGTTGGAACATATCGAATGGTAAATGCAGACAGCGTAAGCTCAGCTGGTGAAGATGGTTTTAATAAAGTACCACAATTATGGAACAAATACTACTCTCTACCAAGAGAAAATCTTGATCGCTGTAACAGTCTCACGAGCCTTAAGCAGAAAAACGTCTGCGGAGCCTCAAATGCTGCTGGAGCTTTAATGACTCCGTTGAGTGAAGACGATGAGAAAACACGCGAGCATACGTCTTTAGGTCATTGGACGCCAATGAAGCTAGCCTTTGAATCTGTAGGTTTGAGTGCAAGTGTTTCATTAAATTGTTACTTTAACGCAGTTAAGCAACGTGATTTGTCTCTCTGCTCATTTAGGGCAATAATGGGTCACATACGGCTTTACCAGTTACTTTACTCCCGGCAGTGTGCCTACGGTCTACAGGAGAAAATGCCTTAACAGCAAATAGCTCCTTCGTATCCCAAGCACCGACTGCGTTTCGACCAGGAGTAAAACTTGACGTGGATGTCAAGGCGGCAGAACATGCATCTGATTCGGGACAAGGGGGAAGTGATGAGGACTCGCAATCACAGTCGTTAACTCAGCCTCCACCTCTCATCAACCTAGTTCAATGTAAGTCCATGTTTAGTAAAATTCGTACTTGTTGGATCATAGACTTCTTAAAAAATCTCTAATTTGATTCCTCGTTTAAGAATACACGCTGAACTTGTTTAAGAAGGGCTCAAAAGAAACAGGTTGTCCTGATTTTTAATTAACTCTCAATTGTTAAACTATAAGTCATTACTCCATTCAGACCACCTGTAGAAGGTATAGTTCATGAAGCTCAAAATACTAATTTAGATATAAGGAAATAACTTTTCTTATAATGATTTAAATATTAATAAGATGATTGGTATCTTAACAGATGATTGTGGCAATATCGGGCTCAATAGTAGTCCAAGCGGGAGTGTAGTAATCGAATAGTCGATAATGAGGAGATGAGAGTGACGAAGTCTATTAGTTACGTTCAATTAGATAGAAAATATTTGGTTACGGGATTACCATTTTCTCTGCAACCTCTCAGAGCATGAAACGTAATTACCCTTAATTTGCCTAGGTTTGTCGGTTAATTACGATATTCCACTTGTTGTACTATACAACTTAAAAACCACAAACTTCAAACCACGATTATTTAAGTACAGATTAATGCATAAAGCGTTGGAAAATGATGCGAAATCAGAATGTATCAGAAAATACTAATGTGTAGACAATCTACAAGTTGTCATTAACACAACTAGAAATTTACCCTATAATGAATTGATTACATTAGTAATAAATACACTCAAATGAGCTAAAAGAATTTAATAAATGCAATAATAAGCTAATGTTATTTAGTTACTGGCAAATTTTTATTTTAGTGTCTTGTGAATTCGGTGAAAATCCATGGAGAAGGGCTGCGGGAGGAGAGAGTCTATGCAGCGAGGATTTTCTCCGTCTCCCGAATTCAAATTTTCTCAGCAAAAGTAATAATGCCAACAATCCAGAAGAAAAAGTAATTGTCGCCGAGCGTCTGAATCTGAGCTAAACTCTACCGAATAAAGTTTATAGTACTTAAATGAAATAAGTAGACGTTCGTATTTTTTAACCCATGACACTTATTTAGACCTGCTTTTCCACTAAGTTGTACAAATTTCTTACCCACAACTGCACATTAATTCCATCAGCCATGCACCCACTCTTTGTTTCGCTTTGTAAACCGTAACTTTGCCGTTTGACCTCGCGTAACATCGATGTGTATTTTTTCTTAAAACTTAGTGTAATATCTTGACGTGAATTTAAATTGATCTCTATTAATAAATGTATTTCCAAATTATGTTAAATTTATGTACTCTGAGGTGCTTTGTTTAGTTATCTTAGAAATAAAACATTAAAGTTACAAATTAGGGAGGAGGGAGAATATTAAATGGAACATAATGTTAGATTGTCAATCTTTGTTTTTCTTACAACCAAAAGATTCGTTAGTTCCTTTAGTTTTACAAAAGATTTGAATTAAAGTATTTGAAAATAGGTTCAATTTTAATTTTATTAAAGAAATAATATAAATTAGAAATGTACCTATTCTTGGAAGAAATTAAAATTTAATTTAGTATATTTTCTTGTAATTTGTGAAAACTTCCTCAGTATTAGCATTTGGATAGAAATTAATTGAATTTAATATGCGAAAGTGTGCTAATCATTCATCCATGCATAGAATTATGCTAAATATACTCGGAACATGTTAACCTGCTGTTGTCGATAAGATTCGGTTGTTATCTCACATAATTTTTTTTTCATTTAATGGTGATAAAATAATTTGGCAGAAATAGGAAGAATACATTTATCACGGTGTTTTTACTTATAAAAGCTTTTGGGTAATAATAAACAATTTTCAGGTGTTATTTCTGCTGTCTTTCACTTGGACGAAAATTGGGGCTATTTCTCCTTATTCATATTTTTTCCAATTCTAATTTACTAATTATTAATTCACTGCTACTTATATTATATCAGTAGCATAGGTTTATTATATGCCTTCTTGAGAGATTAATCGGATATTTTTCGCATACTCGAATGAAGTATGAGCTTCATTACTAGTGCACTGCTTTAGTGATTTTCCACTCGCAACTTTGGTCTGCATTAAGATTCGAGCTTTCCCATCGATCAAAGAAGAAACTTCGGTAACAGTTCATCACTACTCTCGCTTTTCCATGCCTCATGGGTACCACTTATTTGATATGTCCATAGATATTTACTCACATTTACCCCTCTGGAGATAAAACGGTAGTTCTATCATAACTCCAATAATTTTGCATTTTACCATGTAAATTACAAATTTCTTCCCTTAGATTACTCCGATACCTTAGTTTCGAATATACAGCGATGACGTTAAATTCCTTGGTAGCATTTGTAGGACATGAGTGAGAACAGTTGTAGACTAAAAGGCGAATAAAGTTGAGTTAATGATGTGTTTAAGTGAGAAATTAAGACTTAAATGAGAGCGAGTCATACAAACACTGCTAAAAAATTTTTATTCAGACAATAATTGCAGGTAACGTAGGTAAGGCATAGAATCATTTCGAGATTCTAGAACTCAGTACCTCTTAATTCGAATAACAAGCATAGCAATTAGTAAAGTAAAATCATTGTTTAATTACTATAATATTACCCAAGAGACTAAAATTATTAAAATAGTCAGAACATCCAGATACTTCTTACCTTAGTAAGAAGGTAATTATCCTCATTATATGAAATGTTTTTTTGATGAGACGAATTGATTTAAAGAATAGTATCTCATAGTAAAGTATGGAACAAATAACTTCTTCAACCATTTGAGGACGGATTTTCATGGATATAAACAATGCTATTTTATGTAAGAACCTTTTCCTTCAAGCAGGCAACTCCCATTCAATTTCCTTTTAAGGGCTTTTGCCCCCAATTATAGAGACAAAAGTCAGAAGTTTTCCAAAAACATGGGTGTGACTTTATAAATTGGAAATAGTTAAATCAAGTTAAGGATTTCAACTTACCAAACTGAATCTTCTTGTTAAAAGTGATTAGTTTAGACTAATCAAAAGCACTTCATACGGTGACTTTACTCAACCTCCGCTATTTTACTAGGGCAACGACTTATCATCATTTAATTTGAAGAATCCGGCATTATCTCAATCATTGTTAATAAAACTTATCTTACCTAAAGTTTCAACATAGCTTTGTACAAACTAGTGGTTAAAATTCAGTATAGAATTTGTTCATGCTACAGCAGTAATAAAGTCGATATTACGCTTACTACGAAGCAACTGATTTAATGTTCCCAAACCGGTTATTTCTCAGGAAGAAATCAACGTCCTCTTTGTAAACAGAATGTTTAATACGTACGTATTTTTGTTTTAAGGAAAACAGAAGAAGAAAGATGGTTCTAAATTGTAGAGTAAATAATTAGATTCTGGGCAAGTCGACCAAACACTAATAAACCTATCGCAATAAAAACATTTCTTCACATGTTTAAACAGTCTAATTCTGCTTAAAATCATTTTTCTTCTACATTTAAGCAAAAATTACAATGCAATTGGTAAATAACTTTCTTCTCCTTCTTTAATCGGAGAATTCCGTTTGGTTTTAGTCGTGAAACTCAATTTCTAAAAGCGCTTGTTGACTTTACCCTCTCCGTTTATTCAAGTAAATTATGCTTCTAGAGATCATATTTATCTGTTTAACGAATCAAAATCGTTTATATGTCAAATCGAAAATTCTATGTTAGACGTTAGTAAGACTCTCATTTGTTATTATCCTTAAACAGGAGAATTAATCCTCGAAATGCTCGAGATATATGCACAGAATTCAACCACAAGGAGGCTGAAGACCATAGCTTGATGATCTATGCAAATGCTGTGATGTATCTACTGGAAGTTACATGCATTTCCATAGATTGCCAAAATATTCGGAAATGGAAAAATATGCAGATCAGGACACATTTTACCTAAGAAATTTCTGTTGAAATCTCGTTTTCTTTTAGCACGCAATAAAGACTAAGCCTCGAAATAAGTATCTACACGGGTACATTTCAACCTTAAAGTTGGTAGCTTTTATTTCATACTCATCGACAACCCATCTTCTCTAAACGTTTGAGGCGAATTGTCTGCATGTCAGTAAAGATCAAAATATACTCGGAGCAAAGATAAACTACCCAACAAAACTGGATTTAATATTTACTAAAAGAAAATGCTAAATTTCATGGATCAAGTAGTGCTATTCTTTTTAAAATTGACTTAGCAGATACGTAGCTACCAGTTGGATTAATTTAAAGCATTTTAACTCACCGATCAGGCTGGCGTTAATTCTAATTTGATCTCAATTCTAATTATCTATTTTGAGTTTGTGCGTAGAATCTGACTTTATAAATTTCATATATCATTAGTACGATAGAGGAATCCAATAAATTCCTTTTTTATTTAAAATGAAAGCAGATTTATTCAAGAAAAGCCAAAAATTCGACTATGGTCCATAAGAGAATGGGGATGGGTGATTGCAATAGGAGAGCTATGAAGAGCAGCGAGAAAGCAGCGAGAAAGAAAGTAGTGAAATCGGTGTGCAGATGACGATGTACTCTACGAATTGAATGCCATATCTCGGACATTTCAATCACGTGTCGCCAATCAATCTATTGCACGACTACTAAATAATCTCGCGTGTGACTTGATGTTACGAAAACGGCAATTGACAAACCGGAGGTCAAGTATAGATTAAGTCATTTTGTTTGTGGTAAAATAATAAATGAGTTTTAGATGCATTTTACCATTGCAACTTACTTCTATTAAGTCATTACTGCATATATCAGAGGTGTTCATTGAATCATTCATTCTCTGTGGTGTGGTTACTAATGTCTTTCTCGAAAACTACTTAAAGAATTCAGAGCAGAACGAAAATGAATAGTAAAATGGAGACTGGGAGCAACAAAATTAACAATTAGTTAAAACACGAACAGCACTTAAACAACATTTAAAAAATAAGCACGAAGAAATCGATGAAAACTCCAAGAAAGATTATATTTTATTCGAGGTGTTAATAAAATCTCGTTTCCAAAATTGATAAAACTGACTCTGCACTCGTAAAGAGTCGGTTGTAGCTATTACAATTAATGGCATGAAAGAACATAAAATTTAGATGGCTTCTATTTAACGTCTGAGAAGAGTGTTTAAATGAAGATCGACCCTGTGGAAGTCGATGTTTGTGACACACGTGGAGATCTTAACATTTTTACTGGATGAACGCAGTACTTGGTTAATAATCGCAAAAAACAGATAATTTTATGGAAGCGTTTGAAGCGCTAGAGATTTGGAGAAGGAGAAATATTGGAAGACAAGTACAAGATGAGTAAAAAGAGAAAAATAAAAATAACTCTTATCGAAGCGATGTAAAGTAATATACAGATAGAAAAATACTTTCGAGAACCATTTGGTTGTACCCTTCACGAACAATATAATTAAACAATCATTAATTTGTTGAATAAATAAATATTCTTTTTTATTCACCCAGCAAAAGTCGTAGCACTTGATGTTATAATCATAACTTTTCGCATTTATTCATGTTGTTGTCAACTTCTCGAAGCACCACCAGCTCCCGACCGAAAATTCAGATAAAATCCATACAGTTAGTCTACGTGGCTGACTGAATAGACATTTCCTCCATGGGCCTTTGTTCGCCGCCATTTTTATCGTCTCCTTATGCACTTAGAATACAGAGTAATCGGTTAAAACCTGAAGGTGAGGACTGGATTTCCTTATCGAGGAGGCTCGGAAATGTATTTGGAGCACCACCGTATCCCCCTACGTCTTCCACTATTTCTGTAGTAATGATGTTTGCTCCTTCGTATACAGACAAACTTCCTCTCCATACATTCTTCTATCTTCTTTCCCAGTTCGGTGTCCCGTCTGTAAAGGAGTGGCAGGCACAAAGATAGGAAAACTCATAGCAATTTAAGTTTATTTATTCAGAAACATTTATGGATACATTTTTACCAATTACTAACCCAATCAAAGAATAAATTTCTTT